GGCCCATATCTCCGGTGACATGTTTGCAGCCCTCCTGACCCACCTCCATTCGATTCGCAAAACATGTCCCGCCCAACATGCTACGCCTGATTGCCAGGCCTCCTGGTCTACTACTGCCCGCGTCGCCCTCCGCACCCGTGACATGCAATCCTTCTCTGGCCCCCACCTGGGACCATGCACACGCGGCGACATCAATACTTGGACGAACCTGATTCCCACCAACCCTTTTGGCGTAGGTGGTCTAGAGCGTTTCCTCTTTTACCGCTCCTCCTTCCCCTTCGGGGAGGGGTTTACCCCTCCCCCTACCCCCTCTCCTGGACCTGGACGGGGCGTTCCGCGAGCGGTCGGAGCGGTCGGAGGTCGGGCATTCCGCAAGCGGTCGGTGCATTTACCCTGCTAGCTGGTCCCGATGTCGTCTTCCTTGCGCTTGCCGCCGATGCCTGCTATCATCCGCTCTGGGCGGTCCACTGCCATGGCCTGCTGCTCTATCGGTACTGCTGCCGCTGCCGCCGCTCCCTCTGGCACTCTCCAGGGCAGGGAGGTCGAGAAATTGAGTGCGGAAATGTGCACGTGAGCCTGCAGGGTCCACTGTTTGAGCCATACACCAGGGGCATTAGAGCTGGTCCTTGTGGTACGGTATTATGAATGTTGCACTTCAGTTTGTTACGCAGATACCTGTCCCGAAGGAGGCAATCAAATGTTTATACACAAAGTTGCGGCTCCCAAAGACGCTCTCACATACAAGGCAGACGTTGGAGGTAACTGCCAAGCCCAGGATACATTTAAATGCATGCTGTCTGTCTGTTTATGTGCACCAGAAGTTGTCGGTTAGTGCGGAATCGACGTGGGCAACCTGGAACTGGACACTGCAGGATGGGTTCGGGGCCTTCAGGGACAGGGAGATGGTCCGCCTCCACCGAGCGGAATTCAGGTGATAGAACAGACACACTTAACCAATGCGCCCGTAGCTTCTTCGTATCAAATCCCGGGAACCACTCGACCAAGGCGGGCTCCTGGAACAACTGCAAGGGGCTGCTGTTAAAGTCTGCTACATGTTCGTATTCGTCATCACCTAATTCAGCTGGTGACTTAATCTCCGCTTTGACTCGCCTGGCCCAGGGACACGCCGCCGAGGTAAGGCGAGAATCAGGGCCAACAATCTGCAATCCGTGCTCTCGCTCGATCTGCCTTGTGCCAAAGAGCGCAGCCCACTCTGACAGGTGTCGGTCGGGGCGCTGTACCCAGCGTTGGTACCACTTGATTCGTCGAGTTCGGAATTCACCTTCGAGTGGTGGTGCCGTCTTCCAATACCTGCACACGTCAGCATTGCTAACTGAGACCGTGTGGCCATTGACCTCCCTAGTGGCGAGGCCCCTCATTGTCCTACGCGCGTACATGACGACTCTACTCTGCAACTTCGAGATCGGGGCGCCCGTGGGTAAGAAGGCCACAAGACCAGGCATAGCTGATCCCAGGACCCTGCTGAGAAAGAGGGCTCTTCGCTCCACATAAGGGACCCTTGCTTGGTGCCAGAAACGCCCCATACTGTGAAAGCCAACATCGATCGCAGATAATCTACGATCGAGCTCCGAGTTGAAAGTGCCATTTCCTCGAACGAGGCCGCCTAGGTATTTCCTGCCAGCAGAATTATGCCTCGCCCCCTCCCTCACCCCCTGCCTCCTCCTTCTCCTCCTCCTCCTCCTCCTCCTCCTCCTCCTCCTCCTCCTCCTCCTAAGACTCATCCTAAGCCTCCTCCTAAGCCTCCTCAATATCCCTCCTCATCCTCCTCCCTCCGTCCTTTCCTCCCTTCTCCCTCCTCGTCCTCCCTCCTCCACCCTCCTACGCATCCTCCTTCCTATCTCCAGCTCAATCCTCCTGCACCTCATCCACCTCCTCATCCTACCGCTCTCCTGATTTGAGATCACTTCGTTCGCTCGCCTTTATTGCGGTGAGACTTGGAGCGCGCGGGTGCAAGGAAACCTGCGCGCTTATGTCCTGCACATTGGAGGATCACGCCCCCTGCCCCCCCGCCCTCTGCACCCACGCTTCGGGAAGCAGAGAGCATTCCTCTGGCTCTACTGCTGGTGAGGGGCCTCGTGCAGGTTCTGTGACGAGGCGGCCATGCCATCTCTTGGCGAGGGCCAGGTAAAGCGTATTCGTGTCGTGGCGGCACTGGCGCTGGCTTCTGACACCGCATGGATCGCCCAACCTTGAACGATCGCGGCTTGCCGAAAGCGCACATCTTCTGATGTCGGCCGACTCTGGGCCTCCCGTCCCCTCCGTACGCCCTTCCTCCCCCTCTTTCCCTCGCTCCATCTTCTCGCCCCCTCTCTCTCCACACCAGCCCCGCCCCGCCCGATCTTCCAGCCTCTACATCCAAGCTGGGAAGAATGGAGCATGGCAATACAAAATAATGCATGAGTAGCCACAGTCAGACAGAAATTAGCCTGACGAAAGACCCAACCACATGCAGCTGAGAGTGTCTGGGACGCATGCGGACGCACCCCCTGGGGCCTTCGGTGGAACTACCTATGGGGCCACGAACCGTGTGAGGGGTGTGCCGAAATCGGTGGCGGGGACGCATATGGCCACACCCCCTGGGGCCTTCAATGGAGCTCCCTGGGGTGTGCCGGAATGGCTGGCGGGGGCGCACGTACACTGTGCCACTGGGACCTTCGGTGGAGCTCCCTATGGGGCCACGAACCGTGTGAGGGGTGTGCCGTAATAGGTGGCGGGGACGTGTGTAAATTGTACCACTGTGGCCTTTTTTAATGGTCGGCGCAACTCGCGCAGCGCGAGCTGTACGCAAGACGGGCGGGCGGCGGCAGCCGCACAAGATGTGCAGCCCGAGAGGCACGGCAACGGCTGGCCTCATCGTTGGAGCACCCGCCCGCCACTCTGCCAGGCGCGTAGAGCTCCCTGTGGGGCCACGAGCTGTGTGAGGTGTGTCCCGACATTGGGTGGCGGGGACGCGTGTAAACTGTGCCTCTGGGGCCTTCGGTGGAACTCTATGGGGCCACGCTACGTGTGAAGGATGTGCCGAAATGAGTGGCGGGGGCGCATGTGAACTGTGCCACTGGGGCATTCGGTGGAGCTCTCTATCGGGCCGCGAACCGTACGAAGGGTGTGCCGTAATGGGTGGCGGGGACGCATGTAAACTGTACCACTGGGGCCATCGGTGGAGCTCCCTTTGGGGCCACGAACCGTGCGACGGGTGTGCCGTAATGGGTGGCGGGGACGCATGTAAACTCTGCCCCTGGGACCTTCGTTGGAGCTCCTTGTGACGCCACGAACCGCGTGAGGGATGTGCCCGAATGTGTGGCAGGGACGCGTGTAAACTGTACCACTGGGGCCTTCGGTGGAGCTCCCTATTGGGCCGCGAACCATGAGAGGGATGTGCCAGAATGGGTGGCGGGGACGCATGTAAACTGTACCACTGTTATCACTGGGGCCTTCGGTGGAGCTCCCTTTGGGGCCACGAGCCGTGCGAGGGGTGTGCTGACCTGGGTGGCGGGGGCGCATGTGAACTGTGCCACTGGAGCATTCCGTGGAACTCCCTATGGGGCCACGAACCGTGTGAGGGGTGTGCCGAAATGTGTGGCGGGGGCGCACGTAAACTGCGCCACTGGGGCCTTCGGTGGAGCTCCCTATGGGGCCACGCGCCGTGCGAGGGGTGTGCCGACATTGGTGGCGGGGGCGCACGTAAACTGTGCCACTGGGGCATTCGGTTGAACTCCCCATGGGGCCACGAACCATGTGAGGGGTGTGCCAGAATGGGTGGCGGGGACGCGTGTACACTGTGCCACTGGGGCCATCGGTGGAGCTCCCCTTGGGGCCACGAAACGTGCGAGGGGTGTGCCGTAATGGGTGGGGGGACGCATGTAAACTGTGCCACTGGGGCCTTCGGTGGAGCTCCCTACGGGCCACGAACCGTGCGAGGGGTGTGTCAACATGGGTGGCGGGGGCGCATGTAAACTGTGCCACTGGGGCCTTCGGTGGAGCTTCCTATTGGGCCACGATGCGTGTGAGAGGTGAGCCGACATGTTTGGCGGGAACGCACGTAAACTGCGCCACTGGGGCCTTAGGTGGAGCTCCCTATATGGCCACGAAACGTGCGACGGGTGTGCTGAAATGGGTAGCGGGAACGCATGTGAGCTGTGCCACTGGGGCCTTCGGTCGAGCTCCCTATCGGGCCACGAACCGCGTGAGGGGTGTGCCGAAATGGATGACACGGAGGCATGGGATGATGATGATGATGATGATGATGATGATGATGATGATGATGATGATGGTGATGCTGATGGTGATGGCCATGGTGATGGTGATGGTGATGATGACGATGACGATGACGATGACGATGACGGTGACGATGATGATGATGATCATGATGATGATCATGATGATGATGATGTTGATGATGATAATGATGATGATGACGATGATGATGATGATGGTGGTGGTGATGATGGTGATGATGATGATGATGATGATGATGATGATGATGACGAGGAGGACGAGGAGGAGGATGGAGGATGGAGGGAGGAGCGGGAGGAGGCGGAGGAACAGGAGAGGAATGAAGGAAGCAAGGAAGGAACGCGGGGCGCTGTCTCTTCAAAAGGAGAACCCAACACCACAAGATAGTTGGGGAAAAAACGGACGCCTGAAATAATCCGAAACAGGTGAGGTACGCAGAGAGGGACTTGCCAAGCGGGCTGGGGCATTGCCAAGGGGGCTGGGGTACATAGAAATGTTGACCCCGATATTTTTTTCCAAACTCCTCGCCAAGCCTCCGACGCCATGATTTGTCCCAAACGTGGAGGTTTTATAGCTATTGACCTCCATTGCCACATGGATTTCCGGCCGCGAGTTCTGGCGCCGTGGCCCCGGAGCCCAGAGCCCGAACCTGACCTCGCAGGATCCACATCTGGATTCTGAAAAGCCAGTCGCCCTGATTTTGTTCCTGACAACGGAGGCCCTGATGCACGACACCACCCTTCCAGCCTCTACGAAGTCGCGCCGGGCACGATGCCGAAGGCGTGGTGCGGCGCAGCGAGGCCACCACCAGCGCCTCTCGCGTCCACCCGCGCGCGGGCGGGATCTGAGCTGGCCGATGTCGATTAGAAATCCGTATGTGTGTTGTGTGCTGTGTGTTGCGTGTGTTGTGTGTGGGTGTGTGTGTTGTGTGTTGTGTGTTATGTGTCGTGTGGTGTGTGTGTTGTGGGTTGTGTGTTGTGTGTTGTGTGTGTCGTTGTGTTGTGTGTTGCGTGTTGTGTGTGTGATGTTTCAGTATTCGTGTTTGCAGTCCTGTGTTTATTTCTGCGTTTGTGCCTGCGTTTGCGTCTGTGCGTGACCCTGTGCGTATGCGTGTGCGTGCGCGTGTGCATGGTGGGCGTGCGTGTGCGTGCGCGTGTGAAAGTACGTGTGCGTGTGCGTGTGCGTGTGCATGTGCGTGCGTCCGCGTGTGAGTGTGCGTGTGCGTGTGGGTGTGCGTGTGCGTGCGCGTGTGCGTGTGCGTGTGTGCGTGATCGTGTGCGTGTGCGTGTGCCTGTACGTTTGCGTGTGCGTGTGCGTGTCTCTGTGTGTACGTGTGCGTGTGCGTGTGCGTACGTGTGTGTGTGTGTGTCTCCCTGTGTGCTTATCTCTGTGCGTGTCTCTGTGTGTGTCTCAGTGTGTGTGTCTGTGTGTTTGACAATGTGTGTGTGCCTATGTGTGTGTGTGTGTCTGTGTGTGTCTCTGCGTGTGTGTGTATCCGTGTGTGTGTGTCTCTGTGTGTGTGTCTCTGTGTGGGTCTCTGTGTGTGTCCCTGTGTGTCGCTGTGTGTGTCCCTGTGTGTGTCTCTGTGTGTGCGTGTCTGTGTGTATCTCTGTGTGTGCGTCTCTGTGTGTGTCTGTGTGTGTGTCTGTGTGTCTCTGTGTGTCTCTGCGTGTGCGTCTCTGCGTGTGTGTCTCTGCGTGTGTGTCTCTGCGCGTGTGTGTGTCGCTGCGTGTGTCTCTGTGCACATGTGTGTGTCTCTGTGTGTCTCTGTGTGTCTCTGTGCGTATATGTGTGTCTCTGTGTGTCCCGATTCGTCCCTGTGTGTCCCTGTGTGCCTCTGTGTGTCTCTGTGTGTCGTTGTGTGCCTCTGTGTGGATGTGTGTGCCTTTGTGTGTCTCTGTGTGCCTCTGTGTGTCTCTGTGTGTCTTTGTGTCTTTGTGTGTCCCTGTGTGTCTCTGTGTGGTTCTGTGTGTCTCAATGTGTCTATGTGTGTCCTTGTGTGTCTCTGTGTGCCTCTGTGTGTCTCTGCGTGTCTTCGTGTGTCTCCGTGCGTCTCTGTGTGTCGCTGTGCGTCTCTGTGTGCCTCGGTGTGTCGCTGTGCGTCGCTGTGTGTCTGTGTGTGTCTCTGTGTGTCTCTGTGTGTGTTTCTGTGTCTCTGTGTGTCACTGTGTGTCTATGCGTGTCTCTGTATGTCGCTGTGTGTCTCTGTGTCCCTGTGTGTCCCTGTGTGCCTCTGTGTGTCTCTGTGTGCCTCTGTGTATCTTTGTGTGCCTCTGTGTGGATATGTGTGCCGTTGTGTGTGTCTGTGTGTCGTTGTGTGTCTCTGTGTGCCTCTGTGTGTCTCTGTGTCTTTGTGTCTTTGTGTGTCCCTGTGTGGTTCTGTGTGTCTTCGTGTGTCTCCGTGCGGCTCCGTGTGTCTCAATGTGCCTCCGTAAGTCTACGTGTGTCTACGTGTGGCTGTGTGGATGTGTGTCTGTGTGTGGCTCTGTGTGGTTCTGTGTGTCTCTGTGTGCCTCTGTGTGTCTCTGTGTGCCTGTGTGTATCTGTGTGTGACATCGTGTGTCTCTGTGCATCTCCGTGTGGTTCCGTGTCTCCGCGTGGCTTCGCGTGTCTCCTTGTGTCTGTGAGGCTCTGTGCGTCGCTGTGTCTCCGTGTGTCTCCGTGTGTCTCCGTGTGTCTGCGCGTGGCTCCGTGTCTCCGCGTGGTGGCTCCGTGTGTCTCCGTGTGTCTCCGTGTGGCTGTGTGTGTGTGTGTGTCTGTGTGGTTCTGTGTGTTTCTGTGTGTCTCGTTGTGTCTGTGTGTGCCTCTGCGTGTCTGTGTTTCTGTGATGCGGCTCTGCGTGGCTCTGTGTGTCCCCGTGTGTCTCTGCTCGTCTCCGTGTGTCTCTGTGCCGCTCAACGAAGGAACGGCGTTCGACTCACGGGTGAAACGAACACCGCCCTGGACCTAGGCCCCACTAAGGCCCCCGCGTGGCCACGCGGCCGTCAGGCCGAGGCGCTACAACAGTACAAAGTTGAGCGCGTTCAGCGATCCCCATATCGCCCGAAACAGACAGTGCGGAGCAGGAGGACACAGCCGGGGAGCGCCGCCACTCGCTCACCCCCGACCCTAGCCCAAGGGCTGCCGTCCCTCCTGCGCGCTCGCATCTTCTCTGCCTGGGATTTACACAAGCGCACGGCGGGCAAGCCCCCCGTGCACTCGGAACCCCGCAAACGGCCCTGCTTCTGAGCGTGCGTTCCACAGCGCCTGTGAACACTGAAAGGCGGGCGCAGCACGAGCTGATGCCCAAGGTACTCGCTGACCTCGTCGGGCCCCGCTCTCTCTGAGGTCGGACCGCCTGCATCTGCGATCTCCTCGGGGCCCTCTGCAGCAGGCTGGGGCACAAATGTCACAAGGACTGACGCGGCATCGCAAGCGCTGGCGACAATCCCGTTCCTGCTCCTCGCCTCTTTGGGCTGTGGCCTTGTCTTGGGCTGTCCACCAGCCTTGACAGACAGCCCGCGCGCGGTGTCAGGCAGCTGAGCGGCGGTGCTAAACAAGCGCGCTACCTTCTCACGTCTACGATCCTCCTAGCTCCCCCTCTCACCCGACAGCGACGACGACGACGACTGGCCCCCGACCTCCTCAAAGATTTGGCCGTCTAGGCCTTTGCCGCGCCTGGGAGACCTGCTGCCAACACGTTCCTGCTCATGCGGCTGCGGGGCACTGTCATCAAGCCTACCTGGAGCACCGATTCCTGTGTCTCTGTGTCTCTGTGTGTCTCCGTGTGTCTCCGTGTGTCTCTGTGTGGCTTCACGTGTCTCGGCGGGTCTTTGCCTGTCTCTCTGCGTGACTCTGCGTGTCTCGGCGTGTTTCTACTTGTCTCTGGGTGTCTCTGTGTGTCTCTGTGTGTCGCTGTGTGTATGTGTGTGTGTCTCTGTGTCCCTGTGTGTGTCTGTGTGTCTCTGTCTCTGTGCCTGTGCGTCTCTGTGTGCCTCTGTGTGTCCCTGTGTGTGTGTCTGTGTCTCTCTGTCGGTCTCTGTCCGGCTCTGTGTGTCTCCGTGTGTCTCTTTGTCTTTGTGTGTCTCTGTATGTCCGTGTGTCTCTGTGTGTCTCCGTGTCTCCGTGTGTCCCCGTGTGGCTCCGTGTGTCTCCGTGTGGCTCCGTGTGTCTCCGTGTGTCTCCGTGTGTCTCCGTGTGTCTCTGTGTGTCTCTATGTGGCTCCGTGAATATCCGTGTGTGTCCGTGTGTGTCCATGTGTGTCCAAATATCTCCGTTTGTCTCCGTACATCTCCGTGTCCGTATGTGTCCGTATGCCTCCGTTAATCTCCGCTTGTCTCCGTGAATCTCCGTAAATGTCCGTAAATATCCGTTTGTCTCCGATCATCTCCGTAGATATCAAGAAATATCAGCTTGTCTCCGGTATAATCTCCGTTTGTCTCCGTATGTGTCCGTACGTCTCCGCGTGTCTCCGTGTGTCTCCGTATGTCTCCACAAATGTCCGTGTGTCCCCGTGTGCCTCCGTGTGTCTCCGTGTGTCTCCGTAAATCTCCGTGTGTCTCCGTGTGTCTCCGTGTGTCCCCATGTGTCCCCACGTGTCTCCGTAAATATCCGTGTGTGTCCGTGTCTCCGTGTGTCTCCGTGTGTCTCCGTGTGTCCCTGTGTGTCCCTGTGTGTCTACGTGTGTCTCCGTATGTATCCGTATGTCTCCGTGTGTCTCTGTGTCTCCGTGTGTCTCCGTGTGTCTTGGCGAATATACGTCTGTCTCCGTGTGGCTCCGTGTGTCTCCGTGTGTGCGTCCGTGTGTGTCTCTGTGTGACTCTGTGTCTATGCGTGGCTCCGTCAATCTCCGTATATGTTAGTGTGTGTCCATGTGTGTCCGTGTATCTCCGTGTGTCCGTGAATCTCCGTATGTGTTCGTATGTCTCCGTGTGTCTGCGTGTGTCTCCGTGTGTCTATGTGTGTCCCCGTGTCTCCGTATGTCTCCGTAAATGTCGGTATGTCTCCGTGTGTCTCCGTAACTCTCCATGTGTGTCCGTACGTCTCCGTGTGTCTCCGTGTGTCTCCATGTGTCTCCGTAAGTCTCCGTGTGTCTCCGTGTGTCTCTGTGTGTCCCCGTGTGTCTCCGTGTGTCTCCGTGTGTCTCCGTGTACTATGTTTGTCTTCGTATGTCTCCGTGTGTCTCCGTGTGTCTCTGTGTGTCTCCGTGTTTCTCCGTGTGTCTCCGTGGGCGTCCGTGTGCGTCCATGGGCGTCCGTGTGCGTCCATTGGCGTCCGTGTGCGTCCGTGTATGTCCCTGTGTGTCTCCGTGTCTCCGTGTGTCTCAGTGTGTCTCCGTGTGTCTCCGTGTGTCTCCGTGTGTGTCCGTGGGCGTCCGTGGGCGTCCGTGCGCGTCCATGGGCGTCCGTGAGCGTCCGTGTGCCTCCGTGTGTCTCCGTGTGTCTCCGTGTGTGTCAGTATGCGTCTGTGTACGTCCGTGTGCGTCAGTCAAAAGGTCGTCGAAACAGAGAGTTCAAAGGCGGAAGGGGAAGGGAGAGGGTTCGAGAGTTGGTTCGCCCAAAGGCAGTCGAACGCGCCTGTGCTCCAGCACCCACTAGGAAGAGAGGCAAGCTAGGGATGAGGACTGACTGACTGACGAGGCATGCGGAGACCAGGTCTAGCCTGGGCGCTGGAACAAAATCAGACATGCGGGAACTTACCTCCGCTCTTGGGGGGCAATCCCCTGGACAGCCTTGACAGAACCTCTTTCCCTGCTTTGGAGGGGGGGCTGTCCGTCTTGCAAGGCTTGGACAAACTCTGCGCATTCACAGTCGCATGGGCACCGCAATGCA